TTTCAGTAGCTAAATTTATTAAAATGGTTTTTTTTTTTCAAATTTTTTCTTTTTTTTTTTTTTTTTTTTTTTTGGTAACTCTTTACAAGGAAGAATACTTCTGCCGTTCCAAACCTACAATACAGTGCAGGTGGTAAAAAATTTAAATTTTCCACTTGGGAAGAATTACTTTTGTGTGTCCATCCCCCCACTAATGCTACCCTGGGCTACAGCCCGTACAGCGGACACCGTCTCTGAGTAAAAATACGACATGACAAGAGATCAATTTCCTTTAGCTAACACCAAAACCTTAAAAGATTATATTTTATTGCAGTAGGATTGTCTGATACTGAAAAATATTTAGTGTAAATGAATTTATTGAGTAGGAAGAAAATTCCATGCTGAGGAAATTAAGTGTTTTTACCCCAAAGCTAGTAATCGACGACTTCCTGTCTCAGAGGCCAGTTTCTTTCAAAGGTAAGAGAAGATTTTAGCAAATGATGCTGCAACATCTCTAAATCTACAGACTGAGGAATCTGTAAAATCTTGTTCCTCTTCCATGCAAAGCCTCTAAGAATATATGAACTATGAAACTCTTTGATTTTTTTTTTTTTAATAAAAATGTGGCATCTTTTAGCAGGATAAGGATTCACAACATTTAGTCAAATCAAGTCAGGAATGGTTCCACAGACACAACATCTTAGCCTCCATACCTCAATTCTGCTTTTGCTTCAAGTTTTTTTTTTTACTGTATCTTTACCAGAGGTTCAGATTTGTCTGCTGTGTATTTATAATCAAACCAGCAAAAATAGAAACAGGACTAGCAGTTCTCCAGGTGGATCGTGTTTTCTCATAACCTCCTGTTTTCCTCCCTCCTTCAGTGTGCTTCATTTAGTGTGATTCTTAAAGATCATTGCAAACAGATCAAGATCAAAGATCAAGCAAACAGACTAGGAAAAAAAAAGGCATAAAGAGAAATTTTCACATGAAAAGTGTCAAAGCGAGCTGATATTCTTGACCTCTTTCCTTCGTCTCTCCATCTCGGCATCGATTATCCGTCCTGGTAAAACAAGGCAGCCTCGTTTCTCCTTCTTCGTCCTCCGGTTCGCCTTCCTCCTCTTGGGTTATTCTACATTTTATGAACGTTTTAAAAGGATTGTTGCGTGTATCAGTGTACAAGCTACCTCCTCGTTTACTGTGATGATTTTCAGAGGTTTTGTTGCTAAGTTGTTGTTTTCTTTTTTTTTTTTACAAGACCAGAAGAGAAATGAATCATATTTTCTCCCCCTCTCCTTCTCCGAGGAGGAACGATGAGGTGAATCGTTAACGCTGTCAGACTTGAGTTGCTTCTCTCCTGTGACTGAGTGATTAGTTGAGGCTAAAGATGTTTAGGCTAGATGGACGATATTTACACACCCCCGTGGTTATATACAGCGGAGCCCGGTGCTGTGGCTCCGGGACCTGCCTGGGTTGGATGTCCGGCTGAGTGCTGCTCATGCTGGCAGTCTCAGATGTGTGATTCCCGCAGTTTTTACAACAATGGACCCAATTTCAGGAGATGACTGATCCCAAGCAAAGTAAAAACTGGTTATTTCTAAAGATGATGGGACAGTGGGAGATGGAGAAGCGCACATGAAGAGGCCAGATGAAAAGATAAATGATTTGAACTAATCGGGGACCTTTATTCTGCTTCTACGACGGCTCTGATGTCTCCGCAGCCTCCGCGGTTCCGTTTCCTCGCTCGTCTTCTCCACGGTTCCTGGACGCTGCGCCGCCGTCTCACCTCCACCCACTCAGACAAACACTTCTGAAGAGCTGCTTCTTTCCGGTGCACTGCTGTGGTTCTGAAATCCCAACTCAAACAAATGGAGGATGTGGATAATAAGATTCCCATTGCCATCGCAACATTTTTGCTTTGATTGGATAGACAGAGAGTCTCTCCTTTGTCCTGTCCTTCTCATTTATCTCTCCCGATCAGCATATCCTCTTTCCCCTCCTCTCCTTCCCTCTCCTTCCGTCTCCTCTCCTCTTCCTCGATCTACATCACGCTGCATTTGCCCTTCAGTCTCTCTGCGCGGGACTGCTTCCCGGAGCGCTTGCCGTCGATGTTCAGGCTCATGTTCCTCTTCTTGTCCAGGTTGAGCAGCTCCTGGAAGAGCTCCGTGACGTTATGGTTGGTCTTGGCCGACGTCTCCATGAAGGCGCACTTCCAGCGGTTGGCCTGGTCCTCCCCGTCCTTGGTCTCCACCTCACGATGGGTTTCGTCGCTCTTGTTGCCCACCAGCATGATGGGGATGGCCTCCACATTGCCTTTTATGGCCAAAATCTGCAGAAGAGAAGAAAAGTGAGCATCGAAGGTTCCTGTTTTGAATTTCCAGGCACTGGCTGCCATTTTGTTGGGGTTTCATGGAACAGCGGTACATATTTGCTTTCAATTTCCTTTTTTTAAAATTTATTTTACATATAAAATTTGAAACGAGTTTTCTGTATTTGTAGTTACATCTGCCAGTGTTTTGAAATATGCCTCTGCCAGCTTTGCACATTTACAGGATGCAAACTTTATCCATTTTGCTTTGTGTCACGGCTCAAAATGGGTCACAGAGAACTTCTGGACTTGAACTGGACCGTTCTAAAACACGATCATGCATCCATCTAAACACCTCAATTGTTGCTCTCTCACAAGTTTTCTTCCACCATTGCCTTGTCTTGTAGACTGAATATTTTTGGAAAGCTAGTTACCGGTAAGTCACAGAGCGTCATTCACACATTATTAACCAAAACACATCTCTGTCAATATTAACTTCAGATTTGGAGTCATTCCTTGTTGATGTATATATCCTGAGAGAAGAAGGCCTTTCATAAACAGACACACACCTGTTGATAAATGGGTTTCAGCTCCTCCAGAGACTGTTTGCTTGTGATGGCGTAGACCAGGATGAAGGCGTGGCCCTTGGAGATGGAGAGGCGCTGCATGGCTGGGAACTGGTGGCTGCCCGTGGTGTCTGTGATCTGCAGGGTGCACACGCTTTTATCGCAGCTGATCACTTGCCGGTAGGTGTCCTCCACCGTGGGGATGTAGGTGTCCCTGAACGTGCCCTTAACGAAGCGCAGGACCAGGGAGCTCTTCCCCACGCCCCCCGCGCCGAACACCACCACCCGGTAGTCGTTGCTCTGCTCCGGCATTCTGCCTCTGCAGGCTTAAGACAGTGCTGCACCTGAAACGGCAAAGGGAGGAGAAAGACAACGTAATGAGGCGGATGGAAGAGAATCTTACTTGATTTTTATTCATTTCTGACAAACTTATCAGTGTTGTTAGCAGTTTTAATGGCATAGCAACTGTAATATTTACAAATATCTATGAAACTGAACTCAAACAGATATATATATATATATATATATATATATATATATATATATATATATATTTCCATTCCTGTCTGGGACAAAATATGTAATCAGCAAATAGTGAACCTACAGATAAAACAAATATTCCTGAAATAGGCTTTCCAAAAAAAAAAGTGTATAGGGAATTTCTTAATTCCCTATAATCACATAGGGAAATTTACAACAATAATTTTCAGTTTTCTACATTTTGCTCAAAGTTCAAAGTCACTTCTTCGATATTCTTCAGAGAATCTTGTCCAACATTCACAGTTCTGTTATTTTTCTTAAGTGCAGATTTTGTGTACTTTTTCTTGTATGCCTACATAACTCAAAAATTGATCGAGTTACTTATGGAGCACAGACAGACACGTAAATGTGCACCAGTAAAGAATAATAAAAGAAAATACTCGTCCTGAAAGGCGTAATTCTGGAACCTCAACCAAAGTTACACCAACTAACCAACCAGTAAACCAATTTCAACCAATCAATCTATCAAAGAAAAAAGCAGCCAATCAAATAAGCATCCTGCAGAAAAAATAACTAACCAACCAGCCAATCAATCAGATTGGTTAAAACAAGTGGGAAACCAAAAGTAAGCAACAAACAAAGCAAGCAGTGAATTAAAGAGAAAAACCAGTGAAAACAAAGAAATAAGCAACTAGCCAAAAAGTTATCGGCTAAAGCAAAATAAGTAACCAAGTATACAGACTAGCAAATGAGCAAATAACTAACCAAAAAACAAGAAAAGCAAACAAATAACTAACTAGTGAAGCAATCTACCAACTGATGATGAAGTGACGCTGTTTACCTGCTGGTGACATACTGTTAGTGTCGCTTTAGTTCTTTGTTTAGCCAGTGATTATTATCTGTGCAAAAATATGTTGTGAGTCAAGAAATAAACAAGCTTCCTCATCCAGTAACAGAGATTTCAGGGGTTTTTAAAAAAAAAAAGAAAAAAAAGAAAAGCTGTGAAATGACACCAGCTGCAAGTTTAACCTGCTCACACGAACCACCTCCTCACACGCAGTCTGCGGCGATCTTCGTGAGTCCTTGTATTTGTTGTGCGCCTCCTCCGCCTGAATGTACCATCGTTCATCTTCGGCAGTTCAACACTCGCCTTTAGGTCTCGTAATAAGAAACTCCCTCGGATGTGATTATGCGGCTCTGCTACCTTCTGCTGTAATAAAACTGCAAATTGGCGTCAATATAATATGAAATAAGTGGATTTCCGTCATGCTTGCACCGCAGGAACCAACAATTGATGTGCAGGGCATCCGTAATTGGATTGCTGGATTCTAAATGATATCAGTAAAAGGAGTTCAAAATAAATGGAGAATCCGCGGGCGCCTCTTGAGCTTTAAACAGACTCCTTCTCTCTCTCTCCCTCTCTCTCTGGATACGGGCGGCGCGACAACCACGCTGAAAACTTAAGCACAGATTAATTCACAGGAGAGCCTGTGGCCTCCACATATATGTGTTCTCTGTTCTCTGGTCACGAATAAAAAGTCTTGTTTTCCTAAGTTGGTGATAAAAACTTGTTTTGATTGAATCTCCTGCCAGAATCAGTTCTGACTAATCCTTAACCTTCCTGGGCTTCTGCTTGATCAAAGCGTTTCTCCTGTAAATCTTGGCAGATTGTCTTTACGGCCGTGTTAATGGGAGTGTGTGCTGCCCGATGCCGCTTAGTTTGTCTGCAACATCGCTCTGACGCAAATCTGAGTAAACAGGCAATGCTGCCAGAAACGATGATCGTCTGCGTGTTCCCTCAAACTGTTGGATTCGATGAGGCCTTCAGTCAGACTAAAGTATCGCGCGGCGAGCTGCTGGATCTGCTGGATCTGCTCTGCTTTATGTCAAACAGGAACACACACACACACACACACACACACACACACACACACACACACACACGACGACGAGTCTGAGCCATGAGAAATGAATACGACTGAAGAGGTTATTAGCTACATTAAATTATATTATGTCTCAAAGTCTGGTGCCTGTCTTTGCTGGGAGAGATCAAAGTTGATCGGTCTCACTGAATATTTTATGAACTTAAA